AGGAAGGAAGGAAGGAAGGAAGGAAGGAAGGAAGGAAGGAAGGAAAAGAAAGCAGGCCCCCTTGGAACCTACATGCTGAGAACAGCCGGATAGATTTCACACCTACTCTATCTCCAACCTGGGGCTGCAGGATCCCAGAGCACTGGGTAGGATTCAGTGTGGCACATGGGAGAGAACCCTGGAGAAGAGTGGCTTAAATAAAACAGAACACCATTTCCTTCTCATGCAACAGAAGCTGAGAGGGAGGAAGATGAAGGTGTGTAAAGCACCTTCCAAAACTCCGCATCCTCAACCTGGAGTATCCATCTCTCTCATAGTACAAACTGGCTGCTTGTGCTCCAGCCATCAGGTCCCAATCCCAGTCATCAAGAATGAGACAGGAAGAGGAGGGACTTGCTGTAAGGGCTCCTCCTGGAAGGCCACACTCATGACTTCCACACTCACAACTGGCACTTGGTCACACGCACATCCATGTACCTGTTGAAAAAATAGGGGTCTCATTCCAAAGGAATATGAGGAGCTCTTCTTCACTAAGCTTTCAGGGGGTCATTTCCTGCTCTGATTTACCCTCAAGGTGCCAGGCTCTGGAGAACCGGAAGTAGTAGGGGACCCCCCCCCCAATGCCTCAGGAGACAGACAAAATCCAGGTAAATAAACACATACAGAAACATGACACTTGCTGGCCTGGGTCCTGTGAAGAAAACAGTACCATGGAGGAAGACAGCCACAGGTGAAAAAGAAACCACCCCGCTAAGGAGGGCCTTGAGGGATGAGGAGAAGCCAGTGGCCATCCCAGTGACCAGAAGTGGTTTGTACACACAGCCCAGCTGCACACTCCTCTCACACTCGGCTGTGGCCCTTCACCTGTCTGGGCAGTGGCCTTTGCGTCACAGGGCTACAGGGTGGGGGGGGGGGCTTGCTCACGAGAATCAGGGTCTCTACAAGACAACAAAGGCTTACAGATAAGTCTTGCCCTGTACCACTTTTCAGATCAGGGTGCTGTGCCCCCTGGGGGAATATGGCATTGTTTAGGGATGGTTTTGGTTCACAGTTGAAGTGGGGGAAAGGGGACCACTAACATCTAGCAGATAGTGTCCGAGGATGCTGGCAAACACCCTACAATGCACAGAACCCCCAGCCCCAAACAGAGACTCATCCAGCCCGGGGTGTGAGTGTTGCTGAGACAGAGACCCCTGCTCTAGCCCACCACCCTGCTTTGGACAGAAACTCAGGGCCAGCTCATCCCCGGATGTGACTCAGAATGCCACCCCACGTCCCCGAGCAAAGAGTCTAGACACCTGCAGTTCCAGCTTGGCCCCCAAGGACTCCAGCCGTGTCTGAAAGTTGGAAAAGAACTGAACTTGTATGAGCTTATCAAGTGCCAAGCACGTACTGCTACCCCCCACACCAAAATCCATTACAAGTTTAAAGTACAGCTATTATTTTTACAGCATTGCTTAGAAATGGCTTGCAATCTCTAATTTGCTAAATTGATGTGTATATTGACTAAATAAATATTCGGCACAAAGCCCTGGTCCCCCTCCACACTTATTAATCCTCAGGAAATGGAAACAGAAGACACGAAATGAGCTTTTGCTTGGAGCTGCAGACAGGAATACATTATGTTGTTTTTCAAGTGCTCAGGGACTCGGCTCGCTGCAG